CAAGCGTGCCGCTCCAACCCCTTGGTTGGATGATCACCAACCTCGCCTTTCCCAACTCGCTTCCAATACCTGGTCACTAAAAGCAACTGTACCGATCTCCGGTCTGTCTACCCACGCTGTGTTTAGATCTTAGACAGACAGGACCAGCAGGGATTGGGGCCGATACAAGTTGAGTCCGACGGGGTGGCAATACACAATTAAAAGAGAAAATAAACTCACGAGACAAAAAGATTGCTGATGAAAAAAAAAAAGGGTAACAACCTTTTATATCTTAATGTCCGTTACATAAAAACAAAATTGTTCTCAATTCCCGACCCGCTCTGTGGACTATGGCACCAAGCTTCTATCACACAACCTAAAGATTTCGAATTGCCTACTCTTTAGAATTGTGTATGTCGGAGTGTGGTTTGGTTCGACACTGGGGCTAATTTCTATCGATCATTCGCAGTTGATTCTTCTCTTCGACTTGAGTTGTATTTCTTTTTCTTCGTCGACTTAGGCTGGAAGTTCTCTTGTCTTCGACTTGGGCTGGAAGGATCTCTTGCCGCAACTCAGCCGCAACTCTCTGTCGTCCGAGGTGATCTCTTCTCGCTGCCGTCCGGGGCTGAACTTCTGTCTTCGACTTGGGCTGGAAGGATTTCTTGTCTGAGGATTCTCTTGCCCGCAAAGGGGCGAGTGAATCGGGCCTGATGCCCGCGTTCAGGCTCTATCCCTGCCCGCGGTCCAGCTGCAACTCTCAACTCAACTATTTTCCGTTAAAAAAAATCTTGACAAAATCCAAAGAAGAATCAGCCATGAAATCGGTCTCGACCTGGCGTCTCGGCTTCAGTCACTTTCCCACCGCCGTAACGTAACATCCCTTTGCCTCTTCTATACATTTCCACGGTAATTGTTCCTCTTTGGTGCCTCTACTTCACAAATTTAAGCGCAATACTAGATTGGTAGATAGGTCCTATAATTTCATTGTTCAATTTACTAGTTGTAACCATAAGTTCTATGCTAATTGCTTCTTCTCTCCCATTTCTCGCTTCCAGAACTCACTTCCGGCTTCTTGCTTTCCTGTCAACTATGATCTTCAAAAGATTAAATGCAATGACGATCGTTATCTTCTGTGCCTAAATCTTGCTGTTCTATTGTCCTACACTTTCTTTCACTTTCAGCAACCCCTTGTATCCTAGTGGCAATAAAACCTTACTTGTTGTGAAAGGATTTAGAAAAAAAAGATAGCAAGGTAATCTGGGCCCTCAAAGTTTGGTTGGTAAAAAATCTAAGAGAAAGAACACTCTGAAATTCTAAAACATAGAGAAGCCAACGGGAAATTATTCCAGTATATTTCTCAAGAACTTAAACTAATTTTCAGTTAATAAACAAAAGAATTCTATGGAAAGTTATGATCGCCTGATACCTGAAGAAATATGACATTTTAAAAAATACATGACTACTGCTTTGCCACAGAATATTGTAGCATATTCTCACGTTCTCATTCGGGTTGTCTAAACAGATTTTTTAATTCTAAGAAATTATTGAAAAACTGAAGTCAGTTATTTGCTGGTGTTGAACCATAACGTTTCGGATAGTCTCTATTACGAGTGTATAATATGTAAGAATAGCCTAGAGGATTAAAGTTTTAGTTCATGAATTTGATGACATAGTAATTGCGAGTTCAATCCCTGAATCAGGTAGTACAGAACTTAGATTCATCGGAAACAGGGCGAACAATAAGTGAATAGTACTAAATAAGAACAAAACGAGATGTCCCTAAACACTATCAGCGGAACAAGAGCTATCTTCGCTCATAGATTAAATAAAGGGTTCAGCTCGAAATTTCCTGAAGGTTATCCGGATTGACAAAGCCTAAAGAAAGCCGGAAGACATAACGATCGAAATGTTGTAATAATAACAACAAAGATGAGGACAATAATAATAACTGCTAATTCCAGAATTTTTTTTTTATTTTATTGAATATATAGAATGGACTATTGCAAAATCCGACAGTGACACAATTGGGTGAGGAATTAAGAATTTCTTTACAACGCTTTCCGCAAATAAGAAAATTATCAATTGTGATATTATATTTTGAACGTGTTAGTACTGAACTGCTACGTGATATCTGTCTTCCTTCATGGCAGCGAATGTTGGACGGTACCCTCAAAGATGAAGAATAGACTCGAGGCAACGAAGGTATGGTTCTACAGAAGGACGCTGAGGATAACATGGAACGAATATGTGAGCAACCATGAGGTTTTGGAGTGGATGCAAACAAGGAGGAAGCTTATATTTAACATCAGGAAGACGCATCTGAAATTTCTGGGACACGTAATAAGAAAGGAAGGCTTGGAAAATATGATACTCACAGGGTGGATAAAGGGAAAGAGAGAAAAGGAGAAGTAACGCTTAAGCAAGTGCATATTGAGAACTCCAAGAGATGAGGGGAATGGAGAGTCATGATCGACCACGTCCTGAAGGGACACGGCACATAAAAGAAAGAATCGTATCCAGGTCTGGTGCCTATTACCCACGGAACACCCGACCGCGCGTGGGACTGATTTGGGGCCCTAGGCAGTGCTTTGTAACCCTCGCAACCATATCAACATTTGCTTTTTTCTACCTACATTTATATACGTCACAAATCATACCTGACTAGTAAAGGATAAAAATTTTTTGTAGACTTTGACATCATTCTGATGAGTGGGAGTCCAAATCCGTGAATTTGTTTTTCTCATGCTAAGTCTAAAAAAAAACTATATAATGTTCATAATTTTCTATCCATAATATTTAATGTGCAAAAATTATTCAACTTTTTAACAAGAAAAATCTCAAGTTGATGTTAAAAATTGCCGCAAAACATTTATTTATTTATGATTTATTTAAGATGGAATGAGCTATTATGACATGTCTCTAATTTGCATTTGGATACATTGTATTTATTTTCAATCTTTATAGTAGAATCGTTCACCTATATTGCATACTAGCAGACTTCGTTAATGTTTCGCAAAGTGAAACATATTCACTACTTGAAATATTTGAAACAAACATTTTAAATGAACATTTCATTCATAAATCGGCTTGTTATAGTTAAGAAAAGTTTTACAAATAGATGCCAACTTGTTGAAGACCAAGTAAAATGCAAATTTCAAACACTTCTCTGCACTATATAAGACAATATTTCTAAAGAGAAATATTTTTGATATGAAAATCAAAACAATTCTTGAATGAAAAGACACTAATGGAGAACAGTTAGTTAATGAAATATACTTATTTAAAATCAATATGCAAATTAGTTAAACCTGAAGAGAGATATCAACTAGAAGTAGATAATATATAATAAAGATATTGTGCTTTTAGCGCATAAATTCGGGAGAGGGAGCTTTTTTAATTTCAGAGTTCGTTGGATAATTGTGCTCCAATCTCGCATTTATTCATATAGATTCCATAATAGAAGTTTTAATTAATTAGCTATTATGTTTCTCTAATTCTTCAATTGTTGAACGTATAATCAATTCTAATTTCTATTTCCTATTCTTACACTATATTAATTTTATCTTATAAATTGTCACCCATGAAATAAAAATAATTGTTTGTACGGATAATAAGGATCTACGTACATCAAATCGTCTTTAAATTAAGTGGCAGCAGAAGAATTATCGTTGAACTTTTAAAAGGTAAGCTTAAACATTAATCCAATACTTAAATGCAGCGATCAATTTTGAGTTATGTAGTTTATTGATGCCTATAGCATCTACTCCTCCCTAGCTATTGTGATGATGGCCAAACCAAGAGTCCTCCACAGGAGCTAGATTAAATGCCGCCCGATAGTTAGTTTATAATAAAACGTGCACTGCAATTTTGGATTCTGTATACAAAGAGAAAATAAGAGTTACTCCCCTTGAAACCTGAAAGCAACGATAATGGCTAGTATAATATATTAATATATATATATATAACCTCGCATAATCTGGTAACCCTGAATCTGAGCTCAATGAAATCCGTTCTCTTCGCCTAACTTTTCTAGGGCTTTTGAATGAGCTATGAATCATTGAAATCGGACTAGTGGGAGCAGAGGAGATGCTTGGACACACACACACGCACAAATACACTTTGCTTTATATATAAGATGATCCATTACTGTATATAATTAAATTGCAATAACATTTGTATCTTATATGAATACTACCTTATGAAAATTGAATGGGTAGCCCCCGTGTCATAGATTCAGGGGTTGTATCATAGATTCAACGGGTTGTATCATAGATTCAGGGGTTGTATAATAGATTCAAGTGTTTGTATCATTGATTCAGGGTGTTGTATCATAGATTCAAGGGATTGTATCAGATTAAGGGGGTTGTATCATAGATTCAAGGTGTTGTATCATAGATTCAAGTGTTTGTATCATAGATTCAGGGGGTTGTATCATAGATTCAAGGGTTTGTATCATAGATTCAGGGTGTTGTATCATAGATTCAAAGGATTGTAACTTAGATTCAGGGGTTGTATCATAGATTCAAGGGGTTGTAACTTAGATTCAGGGGTTGTATCATAGATTCAGGTGGGTACGAGGCTCTTGTTAAATCAATTATATGTTTAATTGAAAGGCTTGAAAGTCAACAAGAAATGACAATTAATTAGAAGCGCTCTTCATTCATTTTCCATTTCATTTCTTGCCTTTATTTGATTATTGTATATTTGTCCACCGTTTATTTATTCCAATTCTTTCGGATGTTTTTTCTTGTTTTTGTCTGTTCTTTTGTATGCGTCTGTGGTGGCTTCAGATTTATTTTGATGTAAATTTCCCACTAAAATATTCACGGAGAGAAAGTCCGCTGTCAAAAATTGATTTCCGTCGCTGAATAACAACTTTAAAAAAGAAATTATTGTGTCCCAACTTTTTAATAATATTCAATTCTCATTTGAGTAACACAGGATACGTTCATTAAGCTGAGACATGCAACGAATGATTCTGTTGCAATAAATCTCTCTGTCTAATTCGCGCCATGATCAAG